AAAAATTTGGGATAAAGAGTGAATGCTCCAAGTGATGACTCAGGGGGATGCTTTGTCTCTAGGTCCTGACTAGGGGACAGTGGTCATAGTGTTAAGACTACGGGTCAGCCAGAGGCCAGCTGTGACCCCCAGCTCTGCAGCTCCTTCCTTGTGTGACCTTAGACAAGTCACTTGGCTTCTTTGAATCTTAATTTCCCCATCAGCAAATGAATATAATAGTAATGTTGCTTTTATTCTTTGAGACAGTGCCTCATGTAGACCAGGTTGGCCCCAAACTCTCTATGTAGCTGAGGATGGCTTTGAACTCCTGATCATCCTGCCTCTACCTCCTGAGTTCTGGGATTCCAGGCATGCACCACAATACCAAGGATGGAAGCCAGGACTTCGAGCATGTTAGGCAAGCATTCTATCAACTTATATCCATCCCTAACACTACTATTTGTAAGAACTAAAAAAATAATGCATGGGGTTTGCTGGAGAGATGGCTCAGCATTTTAGAGCAATTATTGTCCTTACAGAGGACAATGATTCAATGCCTAGCACCCTCCTGGTGGCTCATAATCCATAACCCCAGTTCCAAGGGATCCAAGGCCCTCTTCTAATCTCTGTGAGAACCAGGCATGCATGTGGTACACGTACATCCATGCAGGCAAAACATTCATACACATGAAATAATGAGAAAATAATGAAAAATGCACAGGAAACATTGTCATACTTCCTGGTACATAACGGCCAGGGCACATTTCTTATTTTTGTTTCTGACAATGATATCAATTACCATCATCACCCAGGGTAACCAGGAGAACCAGCCTCGTGCCTAACCTTAGTAATACTAAGACTAGACCCCAGCCCAGTGTGCCCAAAGCCTCCTTACCTGATAACGCTCTCTCCAAATCACCAGTCCAGGACCCAGACACAATGGTGTTTGAACCCTCTAGCACCTCATCAGCTGAAAATCTTCAGATAAAGCAGATGGTCAGCAAAGCCTAATCTCTAATGCAGAAGCTGATCCTGAGCTCAGGATTCTGAGTCCTGACCGCCCCCCCCCAACCCTCCACTCCTCCACAGCAGACACCGACAGTCCACCTACAAAGTAAAAAAACAGGCCACCTCCATTGTGGGCAACCTAGGCCACATCTGCCGCTCTCCTTCAGTGAGCCCCCCACTCTACCCCCACCTCACAGCTTCCCTCCAGCCCACATGCTCTGGCTGTCTGTCTTTTTCCATCACAGAGTGCTCCAAGCCTGCTCCTCCCCAGACAACACGTCCCAAACCAGCTCTAGCTTTCCGGATCCAGAAGCCCTGTGTCTTCCATTAGGGAGTTCCATAACTACACTTTACAAGGGTCTCCAGGCTCACTCTCCATTCATTCCACAAAAACATACCCTCGCTTCCAATGCTCAATGTTTCAATCCAGGGGCTGTGGTCACCCCAATGCCATGTCCTTTGCTTCTCGACCTCCACGACCTCCCTGGTGCGTGGAACTGCCTTATCTTCAGTTCCCAACAGCCACCTACAACCTGCTCTTTCCCCTGACTCTCCCAGGGCTACCTGACGACTATGACTTTGAGCAGAGCTGAGCTCCTGGTCCGGCTGACATTTGTCCAATGGCAAGGGACTCTCTTGAGGGAATGTTAAGGAAGCAGTGTGGTCAGTGATGGTTCCTCTTCTGCCAGGAGGATGACAAAGGGGGAGGGGGAGGGGCTGTAGGAGGCCATCCTTGCCTCAGGATCAAGGCCCACTCACAGCTGGGAGCGCCAAGAACTCAGATTTAGTTCAGAACCATCAACCCACTCAACTCCTAGCTAATCAATGAGCCCCACTCAACACTCTGTCCACCAGTGATGCCTCAAGGTCACACGTCCATCTGGAATGGTGTTACCCCACATCCAAGGCCCTCCTGTTGCTCATCTGAGTCCCTCATATTTATTTGGTCAATTTCATCTTCTCCTACCTACATCAGGCACAAAAGATGGATGCTGGGACTTCCTACCTGACCCTTCACAGGCTTGCCCACAGTTCTCCAGGAACTCTAGACCTGTCTTCCTGGTGTCTAACCCTGATACTTCTTGCTGCTGCATGGGCTGTTTTCCATTGTTTTCCATTGTTGCTGATTCCACTGCCAGCCCTGCCCCCCTCCATGACTTATCTCCATATCCTATCCACCCTCCACTCCCCCATCCCTTGGTGACTCATCCCCAGGCTTCCCAAGGAAGCCCCCACCCTCTGCCCTTTCCTCCCCTCTTCCATGAGTGGAAAATCCACCCCCATAGCAGGCCAGCCCCTTCCTCCTGTCTCTATTACCCCATCCCCCCATCGACTAGCTTCCTCTCCGGGACCAGGGAGCAATCACAGATGCCCGGACCTTGGCTTCCTTTGCCTGGTGAGATTGGGAGGCTGAGCCCCCAAACAGGCCCCTGGCTTCCCCCTTCGTCTGAGCAGGGGACGGAGATGCACAGGCCCAGGACCCAGGGTCTGTCTGACTTCCTCTTGTCCCGGAATGAGCATGCCTACCCTTTGCAGGCAGGTTTGGGTCTCTCACGCAGAGGAAACCAAAAGCAGTGAGAGGGAGGGAAGGCAGAGCGGCCAATCAGGGGCAGGGTGAGGCTCAAAACCAGCAGGCTCCCCAGGGAACCCCACCGAGGCCTGAGGCATGGCGGAGCTGCAGCAGCTGCAGGAGTTTGAGATCCCCACGGGCCGGGAGGCTCTGCGGGGTAACCACAGCTCCCTGCTGCGGGTGGCCACCTACTGCGAGGATAACTACGTGCAGGTAAGCGGGGAGAGCGCAAGCCAATATGCCCCTGGAGGGCCCTTGCAGCCCGGGCCTCCAGGCAGCGTCTTCTGACAGGTGCCTGTGCTCGCCCTGACTGAACAATCTTCGGGGTTCAGCATCACCCCGCATTTCCCAGGCGCCACCGCGCTTGTTCTCTCTTACACGGCCTCAGAGGAAGGGGATGTGTGTACTTCACTGTATGAATGATCTCACCTTACCTCTCATCTCTTACAAAGACCCAAAAGGCCCTTTCCTCTCACAGGTGCAGGCTCTAGGGGAGTTGTCAGGAAACGGCCCACACCGGGGTTTGTTCCTTGATGTTTGAGAGAGAACAGAGGAGGGTTGGAGCAGGTCAGGATGAGAGAAGAGGTCTGATGCAGAGGCAGGGGACTTACAGCCTGGCTGCTGAGAAACGATGAGGAGGGAGGCACTCTAGCATAGTCTCAAATTTTTATTTTTTGGGGGGATCTTGAGACAGGGTTTCACTGTATGGCCCAGGCTGTCCTTCATTTCTCTGTAGCTCAGGCTGGTCCTCCTATCTCAGTCCTCCTTCAGTGCTGGGATTACAGGTTCCCACTGCCTCTCTTGGCTGTTGTTTGGTTTATTAAGGCATTGGGAATGGAGCCCAGGCTGTCTAGGAAGTGCTTTTCTGCTGAGCTAAGCTCCACTCCACCCTGGAATAGTCTTGTTCATCTTGTGTATATTCCATAGCATTGGTTCCTGGGGAGGGAAGAGGTGGAGGGCCTCGCGACTGCCCATCTGTCCCGGTGTCAATCCTCACAGTCACCTTGTGAGACAATTCCCGTCTTATAAATGTGAAAATGGGAGGTGCCACGTCCAGGGGCACCCAGCTCTGGAACAGCAGAGCCAGGCTGTCACCTGTGTGTGCTGTCACCTGAGCTCCTTCCTCCCCACCCTTCTGTCTGTCTGATATAGCGTATGACTTGGGATGGTTTATCTGCACTCTGTCCTCAGTTCCCTCTGCTCCACTAAGAATGACAGGCTAACTCTGCACCATTTTTTTTTAAATGAGACAGGGTTTCTCTGTATTGTTTTGGAGGCTGTCGGTCCAGCCCTCCAGCCCAGCCTCGAACTCACAGAGATCCGCCTGCCTCTGCCTCCCGAGTGCTGGGAATAAAGGCGTGCGCCACTGTCGCCCGGCAACTCTGCACGTTCTTACCCCTGCCCAAACTGTGTGCCAACACCAGGGGCCTCATCCTATAGTAAGGGGGCTGGGAAGGAGAAGGGAGCAACTGCTCGTGGGAATGACGGACCACAGGGGCAATGGGAACAAAGTTCTCTCTGTGCCTTCCCACAGCCTCTTTTTTGTCTTGTGAGGCGAGCGCCATTTACACTTCACAATGAAGAAGCTGAGGTTTGGAAAGGGTTACACTGGGACAGGATTCAAACTCAGAATTCTAGTTGGTTATAGTGGCCCATATCTGTGATCCCAGCACTTGGGAGGATATAGCAGGGGGACCGCCAAAAGTTTAAGACCTGCCTTATAGTCTCTACATAAGTGAGTTCAAGCCAGTCAGGATTACAGAGGAAGACACTACCTCATAGAGAGCAAAACAGCAAATCAAAACCCCAAGCAAAAAAGCAGCCAGAATTCTGACTTGAGTCCAATAGCTGACCCTTTAAAGACCACAGAGCTACGTTGCCCATCATTCTGGTATGTGTGATGAGTGACCAGCCTGGACACAGATGATCTGGCATGTGGGGGGTCCAATCCCATGTGGGTAATTGGTGTGCACAGAGGATCTGAAGCCAAAAGCTGAGTCTCCAAGTCTTCCATCTATGGTGAGTTTCCCATTGGTCTTTCTGTCCTAAGATCTCTCTCTCTCTTTCTCTCTCTCTCTCTCTCTCTCTCTCTCTCTCTCTCTCTCTCTCTCTCTCTCTCTCTGTCCCCCTGTGTCTCTCCCTGTGTCTCTCCCTCTCTCTCCCTGTCTCTCTCTCTCTGACCTGTTTACTTCAATCCCAGAAGACTGGGATTACAGACCTGTGCCATCATTTGGGGGATGGGAGGAGTTCCTCTTAGACTCTATACCTTCTCCAAGGTGATTATAAGTATTGACTGGAACAGTGTGTTGAAGCATTTGCCCAGGGCCCATCATCCTATAAGGAGGACAGGATAAATGTAGCTCTTATTGCTGCTGTTACCTTTTCAGTAGTGCTGTAGTGATGGGGCTCACTCTATTGTGGTGACAGCCTTTGCCAACATACTCAGCGTATCAGAAACTCTGACCCAGGTTGGAATCCGTGGGTTCCTTTGTGCAGAGCGCTCGCCGGCTCCTAGACCATGCAATCAGTGACCATCCCTCCCTGTCAAAAGAGGATAGTTTCGGGTGATGTCTTTAATACAGCCTCCATCCATCCTTCACCCACCAACCAGGTGTCAGAAGCCCATGGGAACAGCAGCAGGCAGATGGGTCAAGTGTATGGCTGTCAGTCAAGGTTGACCGAGTATACAAACAGGGTGATTTGCATGATGAAAGTTCCCAGGCTCTTGTTTCTCCAGACCTGACTGTGGGCCAAGATCAAAGTTAGAGGTTAGAAACATCCAGGCTGGAGGTACCCAGAGCTGGCCCCAAGCAGACACTTCTTGTTTGGGTTGCTAAGTCCATGTGCTGGGCTGGGGAGGGAACAGTCCAGAAGCAGAGAGGGCCTGTTTTACCCATCAAATAAAGACCCAGGCAGTCCTTTCTACGTTCTTTGCCTATTCAAGGCTTTGGGTGGCATATGCTGATGAATGTAAATTTCACTGCATATGCAGATAGCATGTAAATAGGCACACAAATGAACATCGCTTTCCTGCTGTTAGAACAGAAAAGTAGGAGGACCCCGGCATGGGTTTTCCAGAAGGTTCTAGTTCAGGCTACAGGAGGGGAACCCAGATCTCACTGAGGACACAGCTCTGACAGTTCCAGCGACAGCTCCTCTGGAGCACACAAAGTTCCAAGCCAGGGAGCCATGGGGTGTGCATCCTTGCCTGTCAATGCACCTGCCTCTTCTAATTTGCCTCATCTCTGCCTGCCCCCTACCCCTGAGAGGGACAGGCTTCAGTGCAGCAAGCTTGTGATGGAAGAGGAAGGAGGAAGCCATTTGGGGAAGCAAGACACCCAAGAAGTTTACCCAGCCCCCAAGTCTGGTCTGGGACCAAAAAAAGTTCTTTTGTCGCTAGCCATTGTCTGGGCAACCCTTTCCCACTGACTGTCAGTGTGGCACTGGCCAGGGTCTGGCGTGCAGTAGGGAGCTGCCCAGCTAGTGTTGGGTTCGCCTTTGACCTGTCCATCTGCCAACAAATGCATATTATTTACTATCTTCTGTGTGCTGGGGACTATGTCAACACAGGATGCAGGACAGAATGGTCCAGCTCTCTGTTTTCATGGTACTTATATTTGACTGGTAGGGGGGTTGGGGGGTGAGGTGAAGGGAAAAAAAGAACAGGGCAAGTATGATAGTAACAGTGAGCTGGGTAAAAGCTCAGGGAGCTTTGGGAAGTGGAAAAGCTGCAATCATCTAGTGAAAACAAAACAAAAACGCTAAGAAGTAGAAGCACCAGGGCCCCAAGGTAGGTCCAAGCCAGCTTGTTAGGGAACAGGACTCCAGTAGCCAGTGTGGCTGGAGAGAAGCCAGGGGTGTGTGTGGAAGGGGAAGGTGGTATTTAAAGCCAATTGTGTTCCTAGCACTTAGGAGCCAGAGGCAGGAGCATCAGGAGTTCAAGGCCAGCCTTGGTTACACAGGGAGACTGAAGCCTATTCTACATGAAACCCTGTTAGAAGGGGGGAAAAAAGCGACGCATATTAGAAAGCTGTCAGAGGGGGCTGGAGAGATGGCTCAGTGGTTAAGAGCTGCTCTTCCAGAGGACTGGAGTTCAATTCCCAGCACCCACATGGCAGCTCACAGCTGCCTGTAACTCCAGTTCCAGCAAATCTGGCATCCTCACACAGACATATGCAGGCAAAACATCGATGCACATAAAATAAAAATAAATTATAAAAAAAGAAAGCTGTCAGAGGGAACGAGAGAAGGAAGTCACTTGGTTCTGGGACAGTGTCCTTATGTAAGTTCCCACACACCTGCAGGCAGACTGGGCCTGAAGAAGTTGAAGGTGTGGGGGGGTGTTAGACTCCCAGCCTCATTGGGAGGGGCCTTTGGTTTGCAGGGTTAGGTAAGGGTGTGATATTGGTTGGTTGGTTTTTAGTTCAGCTGTCTCCTCAGGCCAGCATTGCTTCCTCCCTCCCTTTCTTCTCCTCACATCCAGCATGCAGAGACACACTTGCTGAGGAAGGCAGTAGGGTCTGGTCCTCTCAACTTAGTCCTTGCCTCAACTCTTGGAGGAGAGGACTCCCCTCCCCAATCTCCACAGCCGGTTCTCTCAGGCTGCAGACTTGTTTTCCCAGTGTCCCCTGTAGCCCTCATACTACATCATCCTTCCGGAAGCTACCTCAGGCATCTAAGGATGGCAGCGGCCTCCAAGTTCAGCTCCTGCCTCCCTTAGATTCTCTTGTGGTCCCACCGGACCTTGCCTAGGAAGCAGTGGAATGTGCTGGCCTCGGGCCAAGGCTGTGTGTATTTCAGGCCACAGACAAGCGGAAGGCATTAGAAGAGACCATGGCTTTCACCACCCAGGCCCTGGCCAGTGTGGCCTACCAAGTGGGTAACCTGGCTGGGCACACTCTTCGGATGCTGGACCTACAGGGTGCTGCCCTGCGGCAGGTCGAAGCCAAGATCAGCACACTGAGCCAGGTAAGGGTGCGGGAAGGGACCCCTGTCAGCCCCAGCCCTTCAATCCTGCTCAAATAAACAAGGGTTTCTTTATTTCTCCATGTCCGTGTTGTCAACTTGACTACAGAATGCTGGCACCTTCTGAGCTTTGGATACCTCCATCATGGCTCCCCAAGTCTTAGTGTGGTCCTTGCTACCCCATTAGGTGCAAAGTTCTCTGAAAGCAGACACCCCCCCTTGAGTATTGCTAAAACCTTTGCCTGTCACAGTACCTACACAATTTAAATATAAGCAATGATTAATCAGTGTTTTCCACGCCGGCTAGGCAAGCCCATCTTCAGCCCCAGAGGAGTCCCTGCCACCAACTTACAGAGTCCCTACCATTGGCTCATAAATACCCCCAGGCTTCCTTCCTGGATTCCTGACCCTACAAGGCACATGTTACAATTAGCAAAGTTGCAATCTTGGTCTGACCCTAAGTTCCCAAGGGGCCAGGGTGTGGAGTGTGTCTTCCTCTTCCTCCTGAAGATCCAAGGCCCCACCCCTCAAGGCCTGAGGGAAACAAGAGGAAGCTAATTCACATATTTGTGACCCTAGAGGAGAAAGATGACTTGGTTACAATTCTCTGCCACCTCCACACTATGCCCTTCTGCTCCAAAGGCTGCCCTGTCCTTCAGTCCCTTCCCAGCATCCCCAGGGATGTTGCTTTCTCCTTTTCTTCTGTTTCCTGCGCAGCTAATAATAACCCTTATTCTCTTCTACCAGGAAGTTGCTCCAAAGTGGCTCCATCCTCTTCTGCTACTCCTTTCCCAATTGCTGCATGGCCACAGGGACAGAACTCGCTTTCTCTGGATTTCCCTGTTCCTCATGGCTGTTCTTTCCTCCTCTGTGTCTCCCGGCTGGTCTAGAACTCGTCACCACACAGACCAAGTTGGCCTCAAGCTCAGAGATCTACCTGCCTCTGCCTCCTGAATACAAGGTCCCTCTCTCTTTCTGTGTGTGTGTGTGTGTGTGTCCGTCTGTCCGTCCGTCCATCCCTCCCTTTGGTTTTACAAGACAGGGTTTTTTTGGAGCCTGCCCTGGAACCCGCTCTGCAGAGCAGGCTGGCCTGTGCACTACCACCGCCTGCTGGTTTCTCCCTCTCTTAAAGGGAATTGTGTTGGACTCACTGTCACCTCCCAACCCTGTCATGCAGATGGTGAACATACACATGGAAAAGGTGGCCAGAAGGGAGATTGGCACCTTAGCTACCGTCATGCGGCTGCCCCCTAGCCAGAAGGTCATCCCTCCTGAGAGCCTGCCTCCCCTCACTCCCTACTGCAGAAAACCCCTCAACTTCAGCTGCTTGGATGACATTGGCCATGGAATCAAGGCAAGGGGAGCTTTGCTGTCCCCACTGCTCACGCTGTCCTGCCAAGTCATTCCCTCCTGTCTTACTTCTCTGAGTCCTTGTGCCTTCCTCTCTCAGGCTTCCATGGCCAGGAGCCGTGGCCTAAGCTCCTCATTCTCCCAAGGTCCCCAGCTGCCCTCTGCCCTGTACTCACTCTGCTTCTGAAGATCACATGCTGTCCCTGCCCCCACCCATGGGTACTGGGTGTGTGTGGGAAGGGGAAGGGGGGAAGGGCGGGTGTCAGGACACGCATGAGAACCACTTCTTAGCCACATGAGAACAGCAACTTCCTCTGTCTGGGGGTTTGAGGTCAGGGCTGTAAGTCACCCCAGAATGCTGGTGGTAGGGACCGGAGGCAGCAACAGACAGCAGACTTGGTGGAGGGGACATAATCTCATTTCACCATCACTGCTCCATATCAGGTTAGATTAGAAGATTTCCTGGACCTTAACCCCTTGATTTTACGCTAGTCCCCGTAAGGGAGAACAGGACTGCTCTTCAGATCCCAGGTTCCCCTGAGTTCTTTGTGTCGCCCAGTGTTCTGGTATTTTGCTTTTCTTTGGATGGTGCTGTGGATGGAACCCAGGTCTCCTGTAAGCTCAGCACAAGCCCCACCTCTGAACCACATGCTCAGCCTCCAACCTATCCTTCGTGCCTCAAGTTCCCTTTCTTGTCTCTGGTGAGGCAGGGCGACAGAATGTGGGCCCCAGATGCTCATCCTGGGGGAAGTCCCTAAGTTAGAGGTCTCCCTTGCATTAGGGGTTGCTTTCTATCATTGACTCTCCTAGGGTTCTGCCATCCCTCTGTCTTGAATTTGGGGAGGTCAGTTCCATCATGAGTGAGACGGTTCTGTGTGATGTATCTCCCCTCTCCATGCGCCTATTCCTAGCAAGACGTCACATCAGAGTTAAGGACCACCAAGCCACCCAGATCCTTCCGGATTTATGATAGTGTGGGGGTGCAAAGGCCCACTCAGTCACTGTGGCTATGCAGAGGAAGAGGTTCTCAGATGAGTCTGTGCGGCCGGCTTCTTTCCGCGGGGTGACTTTGTGGGACCTGCTGCAGGCTGAAGACCCACCCTGTGGCTCAGGCAACGACACCGCTATGGGGTGGGGGTAGGGCTGGGAAGTGGAAGTAGGAACTTGCTGAGTCTGGCTAGCCCTCTCAGTTCTCTTCCGTCCCTTCCCCAATTCCTCCTAGGGATGAGGGTGAGGATTGCCCCCCCTTGCCTCCGTTGTCACTCCTATCCCCTCCCTCCAGGACTTGAGCACGCAGCTGTCTCGGACTGGAACCCTGTCTCGCAAGAGCATCAAGGCGCCTGCTACACCTGCCTCCTCTGCACTGGGGTAGGGCCTCAAGGCCATTCCTACCAGCCCTGCCCAGCCCCCTTGGGGTTCTCAACTGCTCCCCTACCCCTTACCAGCAGCACCTGGCGCCTTGGTGTCCCTGAGCCTGGCGCCGATTCTCCCTCCACGAGCCATCCTTCCTCAACCCCAGTCCTGCTCAGCAGAGGTCCCTCCCTCCTCATGCCACCCTTAACTCCACTTCCAGGAGACCACCCCGGATCCCCGAGCCCGTGCAGCTCCCAGCCGTGCCCGACGGCAAGCTCTCCGCTGCCTCCTCTGCCTCTTCCTTGGCCTCGGCGGGGTGAGTGCTTGAGTCTAGTAGGTGGGTAGACAGCCGGTGGATTTTTAGAGGGCAGCCGCCTGTCAGACCTCTGGGGTTGAGAAAACTAAGGACCACTGGGTGGGGAAAATAATTTGAGGCAAGACATTTTTGGGTTGGAGGGACCTTTGGGAACGCTGAATTACATACAAGGCTTCCCTCATCTGCGTGTGCTCCCTCTGGTCTTTAGCAGCGTCGAAGGTGCCAGTGGAACCCCCCAGGCAGCACCTGCAACCCCGCCTCCTCCCCCTCCGGCACCTGCAATCCCGCCTCCTCCGCCTCCGGCACCTGCAACCCCGCCTCCTCCACCAGACTCTGCTGAGCTCTTCTTGCCACCTCCTCCGCTGGAGGTGTCCCAGCCCCCATCAGGTAAGAAGTGCCCAACCCTTCACCTCCATCTTGAGACTCCCATCCATCCTTTTGGGCTCCAACCCTGTGCTCCTCAGGAACCCCAGGGAAATCTGTGAACCGAGCCTATTTTTACACTAGCCCTGTGCTTGAAGCTTCTCATTTAAAGTTCACTTTGACAGGACCTTTATAGGCTTAACCCACCTGCCTAAGGGTTGCCCAGCAGGTCTGCCTACCCTGTGTTGAGCCCTCCCAAGCACCTCCAATGGGCTGGAGGCTGGTTAGATCCTGGGGCGGTACCACCTGTGCTATGCACATGCTTGTATCCTTTTTCTTCCTCCCTAACAGCAGAGTTGCCTTTGCCCCCTCCTCCAGTTCTAGAGGGGGATGAACTGGGGCTGCTGCCTCCGCCCCCGCCAGGCTTTGGACCAGAGGAGCCCAGCTGGGTCCCTGCTTCGTACTTGGAGAAAGGTACGGTACTGGTGGGACTACAAAACACTAGAATCTATTGTCAGGTTTCTGGCCTCTGTAGCCCCAGCCTCCACTCCTCATCCGAGGCATTCGCTCTCCCTGCCGAGATAGGACCCTATCTTTTTTGCCTCTCCATCCCCCTGAAGCCTGCTAGGAAAAGAGCAGCTGGCCTGGCATCGATATTACCCAAGCTGGGCAGGGATGCGAAGGCCCAGAAGCTCCACTGCAGCCTTCTCCTCGCATTCTCCCCAGAGCCCTGTGTGCCGGCTCCTGTACCATCACTGGGGGGAAACAGAGGGCACATCTCACAGGATTTTCTCTCCTGCCCCTGCAGTGGTGACACTATACCCATACACCCGACAGAAGGACAATGAGCTCTCCTTCTCTGAAGGCACTGTCATCTGTGTCACTCGCCGCTACTCTGACGGCTGGTGTGAGGGGGTCAGCTCAGAGGGCTCTGGATTCTTCCCCGGGAACTATGTGGAGCCCAGCTGCTGACAGTCCAGATCTGTCCCTGCACCAACCCGGCACTGCCTCAGTGGGGCTCTTGAGTCCCAAGAAACCAGCGCCACAGTCAAGGCTGGACTAAGGACTTGTCTTCCTCTTGGGCTGTGAACGGTGTTCAGCCCCTGCGCCACACAGCAGTGTGGGGGAGGGGCTAGAGAGAGGAGGTACCAGGACTGCTGAAGATGGGGGGGGGTCCACCAAAAAACTAAAAGCCAAGTTCAGGCACTATGCCCAGACAGCTTTGAATAAAACCGATGACCTGATATTTGCCCCGCAGGCCTAGAGGGCCGGGGCGGGACGGCAGGGGGGTGGTGGGAGTGATGGAAAGGGAACGAGATCTAGCGCACATCAACAGAGCCCTGCAGACGGCCCCAGAAGGACCTCTACCTTGAGTCCTCTTTACTATTCGCACTAGACCCCAGCTGCCACAGGCAGCCATTCCTGGCATATTTCCCCCTTTGCCTCTTGCTTGTCTGGTCCTCAAGCGTCCCCCACTTAGATGTGGCTGCGAGCAAAGAGCACCTCTCTTACCCCTCCTACTGTGGCAGCGGCGGCGCAAGAGATGAGTCACTTTGTCCCCCTTCACCTCCTTTATAGCTCTGAAACTCTAGAGGGGGAGGGGCTTGGGTTTCCCTGGCTCTGCTGAAAAACATGGCTTTCTGTTCCATAAGGGCGAAGGGGGATGCGGAGGGCGACTTTGGTGAAGTCCCTGGTCTCTAGCTGCAGTAGACGAGGTCGGAGTGAGAGGATTTGTCACACTCTCCGAGGTCATTGGTTGGTTCTACCTCGTTCCACCAGTAGGAGGTGGCTGCTCCCCTGGCATATTCTTCCTTTGCCGGTATCTGGCGTGAGCGGGGTAAGGAAGCGAGGCGCAGCCAGCGCGGCACTAGTGTAGGATCGCGGTGGCTGAAGCAAGATCAAAGATGCCTAGGAACTGTCTTCCGAGAGCATCACAGGTCTGCGTGAGGAAGCCAGTGCTGGCATGCGGACTGGGGGATCCTGAGTCCGTTTGAGAGAAGACCGGGGAGGGGAGGTTATGCAACCGAAGCAGCAGCTAAAGTAGCGGGAGATGCTCCTTTTCCCAACTGCCCGGAGCCCCTTCCTCTCAGTTCAAGGGACAGTGCCTGCCTTCCAAGGGGTGCTCACTACTCCCTGGAGGGTAGGCAGCCGAGCTGCGATAACTGCATAGATAGGGACGGCTCTTAACCTCCGCTCCCAGCCCACAAGCGGACAGAATTCCAGAAACGCCCAGAGGAGCGTAGCAAAGCGAAGGGGAAGGAGTAACACCAGGGGGTCTTAACCAATTCCCAGCCCTGCTCCTTCTCCACCGGTTCTCCCCGAGTTCCCCTTGCAGGTGATGGTCTTCAACACATCTTCAGCACCTGTTGCAGATGTTGGCGCACTTCTGCGGCCGTTTCCCAGGGCACCACGTGGGCGCGGAAGGAGCTGGGCTCAGCCTTCTGTGCCTCCTGGATGAGGCGGTGCATAGGGTAGCCACGCCGTGGGAAGGCCACGTCCCCGCCCGCCAGCAGCCCCATAGGGCAGAAGTCATTTGCACCGTCACCCACGTAGAATAGGCGCTCGAAGTGCACGCCGTCGCGGGCCCGCTCACGCAGGTATTCACTGAGCACCTTGTGCTTGCACATGTTGGCGGGGCAGCGCGAGCAACTGTGCGTGTGGAAGGGCCGCAACGTCAGCAGTCCCCGAGCGTCGGGGCCGGACGGGTTGCTGAAGATGCGGCGGAATAAGCTGTGGTGGCCAGCGGCACGCAGGGCACTCTCCACACCGAAGGTGTTGGCATCCGAAATGAGAATAACCTCGAAGCAGGAGCCCTGTTTGGCTAGGAACTGCAGCAAATCACCCATGCCCGGCGACAGGGGGATGGTTTCGTAGACAGCGCGCAGGTCTCGCGGCCGTACACCCTGCTCACCCAGGTACTTGAAGACGCGTTGCATGTACTCATTATAGTAGCCCTCGCGGTAGGTGGCACGCAGGCTCTCAGGGAGTTGCTGGCCTGGCGCAGCGCGCACGATTGAGTCGTCACTGTTTTCGTCCACGATAGTCTCATCGAAGTCGAAGGTCAGGAGGAAGCGAGGCGCGCCTGGCGCAGCCATCCTGCCGTCCTGGGAGCAGGGGGAAGAGGAGCAGGAGGAGGGGGCAAGCGAGAGGCGGCGCGGCGGGAGCCGGCCGGGGAGAGTCTGGTTAGCGGGCCACAGCCAGGATCGCTGGCACATCCAAGACCTGAGGAGGACCCAAGGCTGGTTAAGCTGGAGATGGAACCAATGTGTGGCCCACACCCCGCCGTCCCTTGCCCGTCTCCCAGTTAATCATGCGGGATCCACAAGCGGGGCATAGTATTCTTGAAGCCAAAGGCTTCATTGGCTTCTGTTTCTGCTGCTCTCATGGGGTCCCTGGGACTTAGCAAAGGTCAGCTTAGAGGAAGGACGAGTAACTTGTCAGGGATCACTCCTTGAAGCTCCTTAACTGGGTTGGAGACTTCTGGTGGCCTGTGTGGTGGGTGCAGGCAATGGTGGGCAAACCTCACACCCGCTGCCCTAACCCAGCAGAGCGGAAAGCTGGATGTCAGCTACACATGCCAGGAAAAGCAGGTTCCGCAGCCTCCTAGGTACTGGTCAGTGAACTAGATTTTAGCCCTTGAAATTACCAGGTAGGAACGCAGACCACACAAGACCCAGGGAGGCACTTTGGGTGCTGCTTCCAGCAAGATGGCACTGGGCAGGGGACTAGGGATAAGACATAGCTCCTCCAGGGAGTTGTAGGGCCCTGTGCTGCTGCTCATTGCTAATCACTTGCCAATTCCCTGGGAAGAACGTGTCAGCGGGTAGGATTTCTGCCAGAGTCCGAAGCAAGCAGGCGGCAGGAGAAGCAATGGGGCTTAGGGAGATGGGAGCCCCCATCGCCAGGCCACGGCATACCTGGGAGACAGGTAGGGGAGAGGAGAGAGAGCAGCAGTGGCTAAAGAGGCAGAGGGAGGAGGGGCAGGCAGCTGTCGGCGCGGGATATGGGGGAGGGGTAGAGTAGACTACTGCCACACAGCGGGAGCTCTAGGTAGCAGGACTTTGGGCAAAGGGAGACTGTCGTGGGAGAGGTTGGGGATACAATGGGAGTATTGGGGTGTAAGAAAGGCAAGCATATGGACACAGCAGGAGCCCCATCTACATGTCCTTGCCACCTCTGTTTGCCAGCAGCTGTATGAAAGGGGCAGAGTGACCATTCTGTAAGTCCTAGAAGATCCACCTTGCCTGCCTCTCCGCATGTGCTTCCTACCCCAACTCATCCACATGGAACCTGGTTTCTCCCCACACAAACACAACCACTTTTTTTTTATTTTGATTTTTTTGGGGGGCGTTTCGAGACAGGGTTTCTCTGTAGTGTTTTGGAGCCTGTCCTGGAACTCACTGGGTAGACCAGGCTTGGTCTGGAACTCACAGAGATCCGCCTGCCTCTGCCTCCCGAGTGCTGGGATTAAAGGCGTGTGCCACCACCGCCGGCTCACTTCTTTCTTTTTATGTATCTCAGGCTGTGTAGCTGAGGATGAACTTGAACTCTGGATCGTTCTGTTTTCCCCACCCCAGTGCTGAGATAACATCATTCCACCAACTGACCAAAACCCAAGCCCTCACCCACCACTACTTCTGGGGTATTGATAACGTTGTAAAACAGAGACAGCTGAAGCCATTTCAGAGTTGGGATTGGAACATGGCTCTCTGACTCCCTAAGAGAACTGTCCCTTCCACTTTATCTCTTTGGTAGTCAGTCCGTGGGATTTCAGTGGCGTAGAATCTCTGTTGTTGAAGATGTAAGGCACCAGGGCCCACACCAGAGAAATTTCCAGGGACTGAGGGCAAATCTGAAAGGGACTGGAGAGCGCCTATCTCAGGGTGGAAACGTTGGGGCTTGAGGCCTCATCCTGAAGGGCTCCCACTTACCCTAGATAGGCAGCGGAGGCCAACAGCTGGAAAACACCCACTCATTGTCAGTGTATTCTCCTGAGCACCCACTTCTGGAAACTTTGCTGGTCTCAAGCTGTCATCCAGAGCTCCTGAAAAACAAAAACCCACAGAAATCCACATCTGTCCATTTGGGGTGTGTTGGCACACACATTTAATCTCAGCACTTGGCAGGGAGGCAGAAGCAAGTAGATCTCTTGAATTTGAGGCCAGCCTGGTCTACACAGTGGGTTCCAGCAGCCAGGGATATGTAGAGACCCTGGCTCAAAAACAAAGTGCCTGCCCACTGGTTTCCCTTTAGCCATTCATGCCTACCCGACTCTACTCCTTCAAGTACACGGGGCACTCCCAGGTTCTCAGCAAAGAGCAAGCTCTTATAAGCACACTTAGACTGGGCGGTGGTGGTGCACACCCTTAATCCCAGCACTCGGGAGGCAGAGGCAGGCGGATCTCTGTGAGTTTGAGGCCAGCCTGGTCTACAGAGTGAGTTCCAGGACAGCCTCCAAAACAATAGAGAAATCCTGTCTCAAAACAAACAAAAAAAGAACCCCCCCAAAAGAAGTACACTTAGGCTCCTTGCTATTAACGTCCCACGTCCCAGGCTTACCAAAGGGCACTCCTGCAGCCAGGTCAGCAGACAGACTAAGGGACATGCTCAAAAGCCACTCACTTGACTGGCGGTGGTGATGCAAGCCTTTAATTCCAACATTTGGGAGACAGAGGCAGGTGATCTCTGGGAGTTCGAGATTAGCCTGGCCTACAAGAACTAGTTCCAGGACAGCTTCCAAAGCCACAGAGAAACCCTGTCTTGAAAAACAAAACAAAACAAAAAAGCCACTCACTTAAAATGGATGAGACTTCAGAAGTAGATCTCAGAGGCTGGTCCAGGGCCTCTTTCTCCAGTATGACCTCTGCTCACACATGAGTAGAGCATGTCATAGTCTACCAATCACCTTTATCCCAATCTCATTCATGGTTCATCAGACCCAAGAAGGCAGAGAACAGAGGGGCTAGCTCACTTCCTAGAGGCTGTATTGCTCAAGCAGTGCAGCACTTGGCTCATGGATAATTCACCACTGTCTAGAGGCTGAGCCCTGGGCTCTACATGAGATATGAGACTTACCTCCAGCACAAGCCCTGGGCTCTACATGAGATATGAGACTTACCTCCAGCACTACCTCGTTCAGGGGTCTCACCAACAGGACAGGCTGAAATCTCTACTAGAGTTTAGGTGACCAGTTCTGATCTTTTGGTTGGGGCCTTCATCAGTGCAGCTATACAGAATACCATCTATAGCTTCTGGTGCCTCCCTACTCGCCTACTTCTGCACCCCTAGGTTGAGAGACCAGGAGGTCAGCCCCTTAAATTTAGAAAGATACAGCTTGGAATTGGAAAGGTACCAGAAAAAGATAGCAAAGATCTGGCTGGCTGCTGCCCTCTAGTGGTGACAATGGGTGGCACATAAATTCTGACTTGTCAAGGTGACGCTCACTCCCTGACCATCCCAGGGCAGCAGAAAAGCAACTGCCTCCCGAATAAACTAGGGTAGGACCAGGGGAACACAGGGTCTGAGACAGTCTTTATAGAGATGCTTCACTGGCTGCCCACACTTCCTTATGGCAAAGTTTTTTCAAAAGAGATAGGAAGCAATGTTTAGTGCCGCCACCCCCCCCCAAACTTACAGCTAGTAACTGGAAGGAAATTAGAGCTCACTAGCAAAAAGTGGCAGTGTCTTTGGAAAGTGAACATTGCTGAGATAGTGGGAGAGAAGGGGATGGGAATGAGGGGCAAGGGGATAGCATGCAAGGGATATTAGGGGAACTGTCCTGGCTGATAAAACCTTTGTCCCAGGACAAGAGTTAGAGGAGAAAGGTTAGGGGTGCCACACCCATTGTAAAAACAATCTCCAAGAGAGGGATAGCTTCAGGGACAGAGAAGCAAGAGACAGATATGAGGATACAAGTGGGTCACCAACAGCTACATAGACACATTTTCTTTCTCTCATTCTTTCCCCTCCTTCCTCCCTCTCATAATCAGGATTGATCACTGGGCTTCACAGGTGTTTTACAGCATGCCCTTAATTCAGTGTTTCTGTTTTGTGTTTTTAACTTGGAGACAGGGTCGCCCAACATGGACTTGAACTCAGCCTCCTGAGCACAGGGATTCCAGGCATGTAACAAATATCCTGCCCTGTTAAGATGAATTCTCATCTCTTAGGGGGGCGGGGAAAGGGTCAACTATTTGCCTGTTTTCCTTTTTAAAAAATTATACTGAGCCGGGCGTTGGTGGCCCACGCCTTTAATCCCAGCACTCGAGAGGCAGAGGCAGGCGGATCTCTGTGAGTTCGAGGCCAGCCTGGTCTACAGAGTGAGTTCCAGGACAGCCTCCAAAGCTACAGAGAAACCCTGTCTCGAAAAACTAAAAAAAAAAAAAAAAATTATACTGATGTTATGCCCAAAACCCATAGCAAGGTGGTGATGGAGCACGCCTTTAATCCCAGCACTCGGGAGGGATCTCTGGGAGTTCGAGACCAGCCTGGTCAACAAGAGCGAGTTCCAGGACAGCCTCCAAAGTCACAGAGAAACCCTGCCTCAAACCTCCCACCAAAAAAATCCTGTATGGCACCCGAGTCTCCTGTGGAAAGGGGGACAGAATCTGAGTTTCTTCAGCATGCTAGAGCAGGGAAAGCAGGCAGATTTTCTGGGGTGGAAGGTATTCCTTTTTTTTTTTTTGGTTTTTGGAGACAGGATTTCTCTGTGGCTTTGGAGGTTGTCACTGTAGACCAAGCTGGCCTTGAACTCTGAGATCCGCCTGCCTTTGCCTCCTGAATGCTGGGATTAAAGGCGGGTGCCACCAACGCCCAGCCGGTAATTCTTTTCTAGTCCCATGTAAGATCAACTTTTGTATCCCTGATCCCATATATCACAGGCTTGTAGTCTGCTCCCCCCCCCCCTTGACACAAATTCTCAAGTTAAATCTGTGAGAATATGGGGTAAGGGTTTGTATATGTGTGTGGGATCTGTATTGACATAAGCTCTAAGCATGAAATTCTCCTAATGGGGGAGAGGGTAGAGCCCATGGGAAAGTTTGGGGAGTTTTCCATAAGAAATATGCAGGCTGAGAGTGGGGGTGAGGACTTCAGAAATACCACAGTAACAAGTCCTCTCTGCTCCAAGAGTAAGTATATACATCACTCGAAATCAGATCGGACAGTTAAGCCGGGATTCTTGCCCCTAACACTCCCAACTTCACGAACCCCTTTCTTGTTCATTAACCCTTAATAGGAAAAAAAAAGATGCCCAGAGAGGTCTGGCTATCATCATGGGCATCACACAGCCTCACACACAGGATTAGAACCAGGGGTCTTGTGGGGAAACTATCGGAATCTCCCTCCTCGTCTGCTCCAGAGACTGTTATGTTCCCTGTCCTAGCCAGCTAGGGAGTAATGATCTATGCCCTGGTGCCAGTGAGGAATCTGGGACTAGGCGTCGCCTCTGGGATCCCTTGCCTGGGTAGACAAGCAGAGGTTGATCTTCACTGGGTAGGGGCAGGGAGATGGCAGCTGCCGGTGGGGTAGCAAGAGAGATATTTTTAGAGGTGACTGGAAAGCAGGCACTCTGGCACACCCCCAGCTGGCGGGCACTTCGCTCTGATGCGGGCGGGGGGTGCGCAGCTCCGGGGAGAAGGGAGGACTTGTGGGTGGCGGAGAGCTATGATAGTCCCCGGAGATGAAGGGACACTGGGCACCATGAACCTGGGAAAGAAGGGGGGCTCAGTTCACTGCCCCAGGGATTACCCCACCACCAAGCGCATGAAACAAACTCCATACAGCCCCCACCCCAACACTGACATCGCGGTCCCCCCCGAAGCCCAAGACTCAGGCGGGCAGTGGCGGCGGCGCTGTCTGTCCCGGTTGAGTTCGGAGTAAAAGTAGTGGGAAGGGGGCTAGTTAAGGGCTTTAGGGGCAGGATGGAGCAAGGGGTGCTTACGGGAATTGGGGGGGACGCGGTCTTATCCACCCCCAGATTTCTGAGCTCCGGCTCACGCGTCCCTCCAGTCCCAATGGACCGTGGATGATGTGCTTCTGTTCCGTCCCTTCCACCTGCTCCCCATCCCCGGGGCTGCCGCCGCGTCCCCTTTAAATGCCGGGGAGCCAGAGCCCTAGCCGCGGCGGGCGCTGCGGCAGCCGCAGCACCCGGGCCCACCGCAGTCCCCGCACGTCATAAGCGTCCAGCCAATCACCGAGGCGCCGGCGCACATCAAAGGGGCGGGCTTCCCACGGGCCACGCCTCCCGGCTGTCCCCGCGGCAGCGCGAACGGCGGAGGGACTGGGCGGGCTGGACGGGTGAAGCGTGGCGCGTCCCGTCCGAGGAGCGTGGGCGCGGGGCACCCTCTGCGTGTGCGTGGCACGTGCGTGAGTCGCTGTCACATTCCCCGCCTCCTGCCGGGCTCTGCGTGGGGATTCTGCACGCAGCGCGTCCGCCGCCCGCCAGTTCGCCTTGTCGCGGAGCTCCGCCGGACAGCTCGGTGACCGGAACCGCTGAACAGCACGCCGCCAGCGTGCGACGAGATCGGTGTCTTCTGCCCTTCCGGGAGGAGCCACGGCGTCCCGCCGAGTCCTCGGAACCCTGTCCCCTGATCACTGCTGGCCGGGGGATTCTCCCATCCAGCACTGCATAAACACGGAGTTGGAGAGCCAACTCGGTGCATAACGGTGCAGATAAAACCCTCGCTTTCCCCTAAGTCCCGAGAATGCGTTCCTGGCCCCATGCCGCTATCCCGTCCTGGGGCGATTTCCCGTCTTTCCTAGCCCTTAGATTATAATCAGGAGAGAAGAGGTAAAAACCTGGGTTTCCTGAGCCTGTGCTATGAAACCCAGCACTTGACCAGGAGACAATTTTTCCAAGAGTTCAAGCACAAGAACACCTCACTTCTGTCACGGAACAGGGTCTATGGGTGAGAAGTAGATGCATCCAGACCTAAATCTTCCTCTGGTTCCTGCTCCTGCAGCAAAGCCAGTCAACAAATTTCGGTGAATTCTGTGCAGGACAGGGGAGGGGGCTGGCACCTAAATACCAGTGTTTCGTGCTTCCAAAGACATCGGATAGGCAGAAAACTTGGCAACATGATCAACCATCCCATCCTTCAAACCCTTGATGACTTCCCCATTGTCCCTGCTCCCTAAACTGCCACCACCCCCTTCACCTTCTGTAACCCTGATGCTTGCTGAGTGAGGTTAGGTTAGAGATCTAGCAGGTACCACTGTATTCCTTCCACCGTATCCTGGCAGTTTCCTTGTTTGGCTCTGTATTGTTTTGGAGCCTGTCCTAGAGCTCGCTCTGTAGACCAGGCTGGTCTCGAACTCACAGAGATCCTCCTGCCTCTGCCCCCCAAGTGCTGGGATTAAAGGGGTGCGCCACCAAGGTGGGTCTGGATCTCTTTTTTAAATTCTTTTTTTACTTTTGGTTTTTCGAGACAGGGTTTCTCTGTATTGTCTTGGAGGCTGTCCTGGAACTCGCTTGGTAGTCCAGGCTGGTCTGGAACTCACAGAGATCCGCCTGCCTCTGCCTCCCGAGTGCTGGGATTAAAGGCGTGCGCCACCAACGCCCCTCTGGGGCTGGATCTCTTATAGCTTGTGCTGACCTCACCTTACCTATCCTAGACCTGGCCCCGAACTCCTAATCCTCCTGCCTTCACTTCCCTTTTGGTGAATTACTTGAGTCACAACCCCTCTGCAATCCTTCCTCTTGCAGAGGCAGCTTGGTCCCCACACCCTGCCTCAAAACAGCTCTCAGTGGCTGCGTTGTCTTTCTTGTTCTCTGCACAGCAATGCCCTACCCTTTGAGACAGTTTCTTGTGGGCCAGGTTAGTCTGGAACGTGCTATATAGTCCAGAATGACCTTCAGCTGCTGATCTGCCTCCACCTGCCGGGTGTTGGGATTTAAAGACATGTGCCACATTCCCTTCCTTATACCAGTAGCGGCTGTGCTCACGGAGCAGCGGGTAGGTGTTGGAAAGATTTGAACGTGTGTCACCAAGTGGTGCCAGTCAAGCCTGTGAGGAAATGAAGTTACCGAGCTTGCCCAGGGCCATCCAGTGGAGAGATGGTCGGGCCGGGCTTCCGAGCTGCCTTACCCGTGACCTCATACTGAGCCACCCATCCGATGGCAGCCGCCCCTCCACTCCTTTTAAGTAAACAGGGCAGGACCGTGTTTGTCTTTTGTTGTTTCCTTTTTCGTTTGTTTGTTTGTTTTTCTTTCTAGACAGGCAGGGTTTCTCTGTGTACTCTGGCTGTCTTGGAACTCATTCTGTAGACAAGGCTGGCCTTGAACTCAGAGATCCTCCCACCTTTGCCTCCCTAGTGCTGGCATTAAAGATGTGTGCCACCACTGCCTGATTTGTGCTTGTCTTATTTAGCACCGTGTCCTAGGCCCTAGGATACGGACTAGACACTGACACTCTGTGTAGGCCTTAGATGTTTGTTGTTGGGTGCTGTCTTGGAAAAAAATCCCGATCCTCTGGTGCAGTTTCAGCCTCGTCTCCAAATTCACTGATAAGGTCAGGGATTGCTGGTAGGTGACTTTTCTCCACTAGTGACCTCAAGTCCAGGCACCAGAGACGCGTCAGCACAGGGTGCAAGTTCC